CTTTGCAATGGCCACTGAGCCTTCGGACCATCTTTGTTGCTTTCCTGGTAATGTTGTTGCATAATTTCACCGCACTCCAGTTCATATTTTTCAAGATAGAAACCTTAAATCAGGCACGACGCCGATTTGAAGCGGAAATACTGCACGGGACAGCCCTCATAACTCTTCTCTAATCATTTATAGAAACCATTTTGTGGATGTTCTGATATTGTAGAATATCTGGAGACGTAGGAGCTTTTCAATTATCCATGAGCAGTGCTAATGACTGTCCGAAGTTCTTTGGAAAGACTCGCGAACCGTGCCAAGCACCATGAAATGCATAAACTTTACCTTTTCTTCAAAAGGCGAGTACGAAACATTCCATAAATTTAGCTACTGGGTGTGTTTGTAACAAACATTCAATTTCACAGGCAGGTTGGTTGTTTCCGATAATGTAGTATTCATTTTCACAGGGTGACCTTATATTATGAAACGGTGCAAAAATCGAAAAATAATTACAAAAAAGTTCGAAGAAAAGCTGCTCCCACCAAAATTGCGATACAGGGGTTATTCGTAGTGGGGAATCATTTGGTGATAGTGGAAAAATCACCAGTTGGCTGCTGGTCCCGGAAATGCAATATTTTAGGGTGACCTTATAGTTATGAAACGCACTGTATATATCAGCTTCGTGATGCTGCCGTTTTCGCCAAGGAATCGAAGATAAGGTGGGCCGGACACGTCATGCGATTTTGCGATGACCGTTGGACCAGAGCGGTTACCGACTGGATCCCTTCGGGACGTCAAACGAACACCTTGTCCCGATTGTTACAAACAGATTGTTTTCCATTTGTTATCCATCTGCCTTCAAAACATCACCGGTATAAATGCCTTCATGCTGAGTATGGTTTAGTTTATCCACTCTGCTGCTGTGTTTATCCCAATAAACGACTTTGGACTCAGTGTTCGACGCAGCCGGAAGCAGAAGTCAAAACAAGTGGCGACCACGGCAGGATTCTCTGTGAGTTTTCGAAAAGAAGATTACAGCACACCATAGTCGATGCCGCCTACACTCAGAAGACAAGCTAAGCGCCATCGCCAGTCCAGTGGACCCGTGCGGTCCAACACAACGCTTTCTCAAACGACAACGCTCCCGTATGTTCCAGCAGTCAACTCGTCGCTGCTCAATTTCGTCGATGCTTCAATTTCGTCGATGCTTCTACTTCTATTCTAGTAAATTGGAACTTCCCACGTTCGATGGAAACATCCTTGAGTACCCAGAATTTTCGTCTCGGTTTGCCACGTTAGTCGGCAATAAGGTTCAACTCGATGACACGACAAAATTTTCCTTGTTGAAATCTTGTCTGCGAGGTCGTGCTCTTCACGCGATACAAGGACTCTCCATGACTCCTAACAACTACAAGATCGCTATGGACATCCTCGCCACCCACTTCGACGACAAAGTGACTATGAAACATATCCTCTACACGAAGTTGTCACAACTACCGAATTGTGACCAGGAAGGTCGCAATCTTCAAACTCTGTACAACCAAATGTTTGCTCTAGTTAGGCAGTTTGCTGAAGACGGAAATGACTCAAACGAGACCGGTTTAGGAGCAATTCTGCTTAACAAACTTCCTGCCAGAGTACGTAGTCAGATATATGACAAGACAAACAATAGCCACAACCTCTCCCCGACCGAACTGCTACACTTGCTCACCGATATAGTCCGTAAAGAAGCCGCACTATCAGAGATTGATTATCACGCATGCATGAACCGTTATCCTTCAAGTCACGAGCTTCAAGTGGAGTTCCGGTCGAAGCCTCAGCACTTTTCATATTCAACACAGAAGAGAAAAGAATGTTCCTTTTGTCGAAATTCCGATCACACCTCTCTCGTCTGCGACTCCTTCCCGACCCCGCGTGATCGAACTCGTCGAGTAGAACAACTACGTCTATGTTACAACTGTCTCTCCAGTCAACATGGTTCTAAGGACTGCACATCCAAACAATCCTGTAGATTCTGCGCCAAGCGTCATCACTCATCGCTGTGTCCTAAATGCTCTAATGTGTCTAATCCAGGAAGAGAGATTCCGCAACCTGGCCACTCCTTCGCCCCTAACCCCTCCTCGTTCCGAACTCACGAGCAGTTTGTTAGTGTTTCACCAAAAGAAACGACAAACAACCCTCATCAACAAGAGGACAATATCATCCCAATAGTTAGCAGTCCCTCCCATCAGAATCGAAACATACGCTCACAAGCCACACTCATGTGCACCTCCGTAGCCCTCTTTAATCCTGCAAACTCTTCAAAGACAACAGCTGTTACTGCATTTTTCGACTCAGGTTCCACCCAGTCGTACATCACAGACGAACTAGCACGAGTCCTCGACCTCCAGAATATGTTATCCGAAGAGATCTCTGTGTCAACATTTGGCACTACGACTCCTCTCCGACTGAAATCTCGAAATCACGTCGTTGGCATCAAGACAGAGAAAGGAGAGAAGCACCTTCAAGTGAAATCTTTGCCCACCTTAACGGGTCATTTGAGACATGCACACCCCGATTCTAATGCGAAGAACGGAAACGTTACGATATCGTCATGCAAGCCATCTATATTGATTGGAAATGATTACTTTTGGGACATCGTCCTATCAGATGATTTCTACTACGAAACACTGCCGAACGGCTATCGTATGCTTCACACCAGTATCGGCAACATTCTTGTAGGCAAGTCTTTGAATCTGAAAAGTATTGCAACTTGCACTTCCTTTCATGCAGAAGGCGATCTCAACAATCCAGTACTCCACGACGAACTTTCTGAACTTGTTCAAAATTTTTGGAAACTAGAAGCAGTAGGAATAATGGACGATCCTACTCGAAAGGATGACGCTGTTTGTCTCCAGTTCTTCAATGACACTATCGAATACAATCACAAAGAAAATCGATATGTGGTCAAACTACCTTTCAAATACGATGCAACACAGTTACCCGACAATTTCAAATTAGCCTTCTCGAGACTTTCCAGCTTGCTCAAGTCATTGAGAAGTAACCCATCTTACATGGAAAAATACGACAACGTCATCAAAGATCAACTTCAAAGGGAAATTATAGAGAAAGTGCCCAATACGGAGTTGTCGAAGCCTTCCCATTACTTGTCCCACCATGGCGTACTGAAATCCGATAACGACAATACCATCAAAGTGAGATGTGTTTTCGACGGCTCTGCTAAGACGAATGGAAATCCCAGTATCAACGAGATACTTCACCGAGGACCAGTGCTCTTACCTGACCTCACTGGAATACTCATACGTTGCAGGCTTCCTCCAATCCTGATTATCAGTGACATTGAAAAGGCATTTCTGATGGTGGCACTTCACCCTGACTGCAGGGACTACACACGTTTCTTGTGGGTCAACGATACAACGAAACCATTAACTTCCACTAATATAGTTACCTACCGATTTGCCCGTGTACCATTTGGCCTCATATGCTCTCCTTTCCTGCTGTCCGGTACTATCCATCACCATCTGACAAAAATAGCAACTTCCCTTTCACAAACACTTCTCCGAAACACTTATGTAGATAACGTGTTCCACGGCGTCAACAATGTTGCCGAAGGGAAGTCGTTCTTCGCCGACTCCAAAGAATTGTTCCGCCAAGCAGGCATGAACTTGAGAGAATACGCCAGCAATTCTTCAGAACTAAACAAGCTTTTTGAAGAAGAAGAAGGTAGAAGTATGGCGCAAACACAAAAACTTCTCGGCCTCCGATGGAACACTCTTACCGATGAGCTGTTTATCAGCCTCCCACGAAAACCACCAGAGCAAACCAAATGGACGAAACGGAAGGTGCTGAAAGAAGTAGCCAGCATCTATGACCCGCTGGGTATACTCTCACCAGTCACTCTCATTGGAAAACTCTTTCTTCAGTCACTGTGGAAATATGAACAGAGATGGGACGACGTACTTCCTGATGAATTGGCCTCCCAATGGCAACACATAATTAACACTTGGTCCGATCACACATTGAACCTCAACCGCCTCATCGTTGAAACAGGGCCAACCACGACATCAGATTTCGATCTTCATGTATTTACAGATGCGTCCGCAAACGCGTATTGCGCAGTGGCATACCTAGTTCAACGCCGTCAAAGTTCTCCTCACAAAGTTTCGATCTTGATGGCAAAGTCGAGGCTGGCTCCACTTCATCAATCTATAACCATACCCCGCCTAGAGTTGTCGGCTCTCACTATCGGTTCTAAACTGCTTACGTTTCTCTCTACGCAGCTAGACCTGGAGTTGCGACGAAAGTTTCTGTGGACCGACAGCACTGTTGCCCTTAGGTGGACAAACACTGATAAAACAGTGCCAGTGTTCGTTCGTAACCGAGTAAAAACGATTCGATCACTTACCTCAGACGTCATTATGCGTTACGTCCCGACGGAAGACAATCCAGCCGACATTGGCTCTCGTGGATCCATATTCACAGAATTACAAGCAATGACAAAATGGTGGAGTGGTCCAGATTTTCTGAAGCTGGAAGAAGCGGCATGGCCTTCTTCCACAAACAGTACAACTACCGAGCTGTTTCACGCGGAACTATCAGAGGATATGCCTCAAAAAACGAGTAATGAGAGTGCAGAACATGGCTGTCATCCTGCCATCTCCTCCAACTCAACACCACCATTGAACCTGCATTTGGACACCTTCCGCTTCAGCACATGGAATTCCCTGCTAAAAACGGTATTCTTGATCCTACGCTTCTTCACCACAATGTCTCCGAAAGCTGCTTCACTCTTCGGTCGTCATCATGCAGTACTCCGTGCAAGAGCCGAACGAGTACTATTTCGATTGGCCCAATCCCAAAATCCCCCCAGTCCCGAATTGATCCGCCAACTCCACTTGTTCCAGTGTCCGAAGACGTACCTTTGGAAATCTCAAGGACGCATCGACAATAGTGATCTCCATCAAGATACTATCACTCCTGTGTTCCTTCCCAGTACAAACCGCATTACCACTCTTTTCATACTCCATACCCACTCCGAAGGCAACCACTGCGGTCTCAATCACACGCTAACTCAGCTACGGCAGCGCGTTTGGATCCCAAAGGGAAGAGCAACCGTCAAAAGAGTTCTAAGAAACGAATGCTTCTATTGCAAACGTTATACCGCCAAACCTTTCACCCTCCCTCCATTCCCGCCTCATCCTTCTCTTCGAGTTACGACACCGCAATATCCCTTCCAAAGTGTAGGCATGGACTTCTTTGGACCGATGCTTTACCGCAACTCCGACGGAATGTCCTCAAAATATTGGGTTCTTCTCTTAACGTGTCTCAATACACGTGCGATATATGTGGACGCGGTTCTCGATATGACCAGTGTCACAGTTCTTCATGCCTTGCGGCGCTTCATAGCAACTATTGGATGCCCCAGCTTTATATTGTGCGACAACGCCCTGTCCTTCAAAGCCATTGCAAAATGTTATTCGTCACTCCCTTGCCCCGAAGTTGACGATGATATCTTAGACTACTGCACAAAAAGGCAACTACAGATCAAGTTCATTCCCAGCCTAAGTCCTTGGCAAGGAGGTGCCTACGAAAAAATGGTCGATATTTTCAAGAAATCATTCATGCACATCATTCGAAATCGACTGCTTAATATAGAAGACGTTAGGACACTGCTGAAAGAAACAGAAGCAATAGTGAACACTCGACCCTTAACGTACATCACCGATGACATTGATTGTTTCCCGTTAAGACCGATTGACTTCCTGCGACCGTACGCTCAGCTCGCCGGACCCAGTCCTCAAGAATACTCCGACGAATGGATTCCAGTCTCAACTACACGAGAGACCCTTGCGGACGAGTGGATTCGTACGTCAGAACTGTTGTCAGCTTTTTGGAAAAGATGGAACTCAGAATACCTCACCTCGCTAAGAGAGCAATACAAAGACGAACACCTCAAACCACGGTCACATGAAATACAGCCGCCGAAACAAGGAGATATTCGTACTCATCCAGGACCCGCTCCTCAGTCGTGGCCAGTGGAAGATGGGAGAAGTCATCGGATCTCGAGACAATTTCCTGCGATCAGTCGAAATCCGACTCCCTTCAAAAGCTATTATCACACGCCCTAACAATATGGTCTACAAACTAGAAGTCCATCCATCTTCTTCACAACCATCGTCAACACCGTCTCAACGGATAGCGACAGGAGAATCTGAACATCCGATGGTGACTAGATCAAAGGCACGGCAACAATCTCCATTCACACAGCTATGAAAACGACGGAAGCCCTTCAACCAAAAAGAAGTCAGATTCTTGTGATCAATGTTATCATTGTCTTCTGCCTTTGGGAGTCTGTTACAAACAGATTGTTTTCCATTTGTTATCCATCTGCCTTCAAAACATCACCGGTATAAATACCTTCATGCTGAGTATGGTTCAGTTTATCCACTCTGCTGCTGTGTTTATCCCAATAAACGACTTTGGACTCAGTGTTCGACGCAGCCGGAAGCAGAAGTCAAAACACGGCTCGCACAAACTCTCAGCGCATGGCAGCAGCCCCATCAATGACCGTATCCGGATCTTCGTCGCCTTTCACTCATCAGGGACTGAGCTCGTACATAAGTGGTGTTGTTTCTGCAATAAGCCAACGCGATCTTGACCTGAGCCTCTGCGGCAGTCAGAGCGCATCGCTCTAGGATCAGGAGTTCCCTGATATTGGCTCTCGTCTTCCCGTTTGCAGACCCTACTTAATCCCGCAGGAGCTGTATCATGTTCAATTCTCGCTCGATCAACAATGAGCTTCCCGATCTCTGTGATCTTTTACATCGAACCCCAGAGCAGTTTTCGTAACCAAATCCTGGTGTAAGCATCATCTCATAAATGATTCAACGATCAGAGCCGAATTTCCTTACCAGGTTTTTCGCTGCGACCGTGAAGGAGAGACCATGGGGGTTTGGAGTTCTTGCCCTAGTTCACATTTCTGCTCCTACTATATTGCTATCCCTCTGAATTTTTTACCCTACATTCAATGCTTGACCATTCGACTTACTGTAGCCTCCTTGAGCGCGACTATCGCACCCCCTCCTCCTCATTGGACAGTTTTACAGCTCCCTGGATTGTTTGGAAGAGCTGAGTGAGCGGAGATCTCCTGTGCTAATTCTGGAAGATTTCTAATTTCCCCGGTATTGCCTGGGAACAATCCTCACCCTTTATCACCACGGCGTCAGATTCCAGCATGGAAACACTCCTATTCAGTTTTGCTAGGCCCCACAACCTAGGACAATACGTCACATTTCCAATTATATTACTTTATTTAAAAGTATATTGCTGACCTTCTGTAAGGTTTAGGGTTGATTGACGAACA